TTTAAAGCACCCCAAAAGACTTCTTATTTTGATGTTAGGGTGACATATCGATCATGAACGTTACACAACTCCCGATCGTAACGCACATGACACTTGCTTATCTGCATGAGATTGACTCTCTCGTAGAAGAAGCAGGTTGCAGATTATCGAAAAGGAGCAAGATAGACATAGAACATCCTCGTGCATTTCAAACGGTGCAAAAGAAAGAAAAATCCTGATTTTTTTCCCCCTTTTCCCCCTATCAACCCCTAAACTCAGTACTCCCCCCCTTTTCCCCTCCCCCGGCCAATTTCCTACATAAAGTACACAAACCTGTGGAGCGCAAATTCTTCTGCTTCTTTTGCGGGGTTTGCTGTGACGTCAGAACACCGAGCTCTGATTGGCTCTGATCGAAGGATAATGGGTAGACCTCATGGCAGCTTGCTCTGAAACCTACCCACTGTCCTTCAATCAGAGCCAAGCAAAGCTCGGGGACCTGCGAAAGAAGAAGACAAACTTCCGCTCCGCATAACCCCTGGAGCCTCTGCCAAAACTTTGTTCCTCCCCTCCTCTCAATTAACAGCTCTGGATAAGCGCCTGCGTATGACTGCTCCAGTTGATAAGTCTAAAGTTGCGCTTCCGCCGCGCTTCCTCGAGTTTGTATTATGGTATCACTGGATTCGCTGTCTCAACAAGTGGGAGCGTATTCGGATCATTGCGAAATCACTCCGACCTTAAAGTCATGACGACTTCGCTGCCAACACGAAGCGTTTCCCCAGCGACTCGATAATTCCTCTTTATATAATTTTATTATATTGATATTGATACAGCGGGAGATTCGACTGCTTCGAAAAATCACAGCTGGTGACGCTGTGAACGGCCAATCTATGCCGAGCGCGAGCTTGTCTGCTTCTTGCTAAGGATTGTGGGTAAACCTCGAGGCAGCTAGCGTTGAGGTCTACCCACTATAGCTTCAATTTGAGCCAATCAGATCTCGGCGTTCTGATGTCTCCGCAACCCCTGCTCAAGAAGCAGACCAACTTGCCTTCCGTATGGTCACGTAGAAGCTAAGAAACGTAGGGCGTGGCCTATGATGCTTGTGCTTGCCGCTTCGTAACTCGTTTTTTAACGTCGTTATTGGCTAATACCGCGATCCCGTGCGCTGCGGAGTGATAATGAGATGTCCGGAATTTTCCACGCTTTGCGGGTCTTAGGCTGTCCGACACTATGATTAGAGCCGGACAGTCGTCCGGCTCTAAGCAGCTTTTTGCGCAGGAGTTACGGTGACGTCAGAACGACGTGGGTAGACTTGACTGCCAGATGCCTCGAGATCTACCCACTATTTTTTTTTTTCAATCAGCCAATAAGAGCTCGGGGCTTTGATATCATCGTAAACCCTGCGTGGTGCGCCGCTCCGTCTTGATAGCTGATTGGCAGCGCTGCCAGGGACAGCGTTCACGTTACGTGGCATAGTGAAACGCTGCCCGCTCCGACTTCTCTATAATGCACCCGCAGCGTCTCTGCCTCGTCTTTGCCCTCCGGCGGCCGTGTTTCTCAATAGTAAAGGTTTGTCACGTTGACATGCGAAAACCCACTCGCGTCCAGCGTTGCTCTTCATGTGTTTTCATGTTCTCCGGCCCGCAGGACTCGTGTGTCGCGTCGTTGTAAGCTGCAGCGACGGCAACATACCGCCACGTTTTTCGTTTATCTGCGCCAGAATATGCCTCTACAAAGCGTTTGTGCGCTCGACGTTTCGAGAATCACGACGGGACGACATTCAGAAGTGCGACTAATTGATAACAACCGAACGGGAACTATTTTTCGCTCCTCATCATTATCAAATTGCTGTTCGCGCGCTGGCGGATTTAGTAGATTTATTGGGAGTGAAATGTTTGCGGCGGATTTCGACATCGCAAGGACGGGAATCCGTGTTCTCATTTTCCAGGTATTGCGTAACGAAAGAATATAGCCCTGATCGGTGCCCCGAACCTTTGGTAGAGACCTGTGCTCAGGAGAGCTGACATTGAGTAGAAGCTAAGGTCGCCCGTTACACGGGGGATCCATGCCAGGCAGGCCGTGATCAATACAAAATGCTTCTGCCAGGAACCTTACCGTGGCGTCACTGTCTCGTCGCACGCTTCGAATAGTGCGACTTCTATGCCTGACTATTTAAGTCACGTAACGCGGTTTAAGAAATGCAGAGCGTGGCACATCATTTTTTTTTCTCACTCCGTGATTCGTCCACCGGCGTTCTCATCAGATCTTCCTGCAATCTCATTGGCTATCGGAATGATAATAAAACGCCCAGGACCTTCTATGCCCTGAGTTTCTTACGTTGTCGGTGGTTATATACACGACGATACGCCAGTGCACCACCTTTACGGACTTTGCACAGATTTCATTTTCACAACATCCACGTGTTTCGACAGCAACATCTCGGGTCCGTACACAAATAACCTTTCCAAGAATTTGCACACGGTTGTAACAAAATGTCGACGCGTGCAAAGAAACCCTAGTCCATCGTCTCACTCGTGGACAACGTCTGTTAACGTGTACACGCGTCACACGGATCATCCATCGGACAAAAACGGGCGAACGGGGCGATGTGTTTGAAGCCATCGATGCCCACTGATCGATGTCCGGTGTTTATCGAGCTTTTCGAATGGACGAGGGAGGCCGAAGCAGTGGCGCCTCTTTTGTTCGTCTAGGCGGTCCCACTTCCGGTGTATCTGGTTGCTCGACTGGACTTCGTCTCTCCTCCGAGGACACAGGCGGCGCCGAGTGGAAGCCTTTGTGCACGATGTGCGTTCGTGGAGGCTAGCGATCAATTTGTTGGACGGCGTGGAACGTTCGGTAGCAGGGAACCTTTTAGGGCTGAGGCAATGCCACCTAGAAGACAAAACATGCGGCCCCCCCCCCAACCATCACCTTGGCCGCTAGTGCGTCTTGCAGTGTCTCACGGTGAGTTGTACTTAACCACGCTGGCGACACCAGACCGGCATGTCTGTCGCATTGTGGCGTATTGTCGTCGAGCTTCAGCGTGTTTGCCGCTAGGGGCGGGTCAAGGATTTACCAACGATGACGTCACACGTAAGCCCTGTGTTCTAGGTGGTACTGGCTCAGAGAACCAACACTTTTTTTTTCGGTCGCCCTTAGGGATGTTTTGAAGCTGCCGAAGTTCGAGTCCTTCTTCCACTGTAAAGCGTGATTAAACCTAGATTTTCTACACCAGTTCCGCGCATGGGCGTAGATTGATAACAAGCTGACACCACCTGGCGAAGGACGGAGCATCACTTATAGGGTATACTGTTTCGCATGAACAAACGAATGAAATGCGTAAAACTGTAAGTTTTTTTTTATATTGAAGTAATATTAGTAATTATCTTATAAAAGTTAAAACAAACTTCAGTTTAAAATGTTTTTATAAAGATTTTATGATGATTTATTTTATGAATATTAACACGATTAAAGTGTTTTGTGTACAAGTCAGGTAGCATTGCTTAGATTGCCGAACTTCGTCCAATTTTGCCAAAAGTTGGAAGGTTCGCCGAAAGTTCGTGACATCGGTGTTTGCGGCATTTCGTACTGTGGTGCGCAGTCTCCGGACATTAGCATGGAAGACGTTGAGCTAGTGTGACGCAAAAAAATTCGTTCTTGTTCTGTGTTAAAAAAAAACATTTTAAAACTTAAGTGTAGAATATCTGTCCTGATTGAATCCATGTAAAGCAAGAACTCGCCGCCCTGACAAAGCATTTTTTTCTGGGTGGGCAGGCAATTTCTAGTCAGAAACAAGACATTCGGGCCGCATGCTACTTCCGCTGGCGCCCTTGCGGAACACTACCGCAACAACCCCTGAATGAGAGTGTCAGTATCAGCTTAGTTTTTATTTTTTACTCTAACCTAAAGAGCTCGCGCACTTTTCCTGGAATTGACTTGCTGTTTTTCTTTGAGTACTACTTAAACGTTACAATGGGCAGGGTTGGTCTGGTCAAGTAATATATATATATATATATATATATAGTGATTTTATACGTCATTACTGCACCTTCCCAGAATAATTTCTTTTTATACGGAGCTTAAATGGCCATCTATTTCTTTTGTGTTGACGCTCGCAGCGAAACGTGGGCATGAAGTGCAAAGAAAAACTCCCAAAAATGAATTTTCATCAGTTTTACTCAAAAATCCAAATTCTCAATATATTTATCGATAAATGGTTATTGACTTATTTTTAAATTTACACGAGAACACCGAACTTTGGTTTTGTGAATTTAACATTGGCTCTGGAGATTATTGCAAGCCCTGTCCTGAATGCATTTGACCGGGTCAAAATCGGGAGCGTATGTAAAATATTCATTCCACTGGAGTTGGTATGGGATTGAAGCCGGTCAAGACCACTCCCAGTAAAAATCTGTATCCGATTCCGACACAGCGCGTTACTTGCAAGACAGAATGATATATCAGTGTATGCTTATACTTATTGTGGGTCTTATATGAGCCGGATAAGGGATGGATAAATGTTTAAGCTCATGACTCCAGCGACCCCAGTATGGTCCAGACGCAGGGTGCATATGCTATTGGTTCGCGACACGAGCTGGTACGGTACAAGTTTAAGGCCGGATTTCTTCTTACCGGATCAGATCAGGATAGTATCCGGCTCCGAATCAGTTGCGGTTCGGTAGCGCATACGGCAAGCGAAACAGGCTACACGAGGTTTGGCTTGTAACAGGTCAGAACAGATTCTTGTTTAGAAATAATCGGTAATGACCTTAGTGACCCGTATGCACTTTTTATGACTACAAATTTTTATAGGTTGTTCACTGATAACAGTGGTATCAAGTTTTTTTATCCTTATGAATAAGTATGAGTGCATTAAAACTGGCGCGCGTCTTGAAGTTGATACGCACTCAGCGCAACCTTGGCCAGTGTGATGTCGTTCCGGCTGGAACCTATGGAGATGGTACTTTCATTTTTAAAAGTTTGTGATGTACACCTGCAATGATTTGCGAGACGGTCATACTCACTGCAGAGTTGTGAGCTGCCTGTGGAGGTCGTCGACTATGTCCCGGATCACCTCGAGTCCCTTGCGTCGATTCACGATCTGTCGGATGCTGCTGGAAGGAGACAAAGACAGCCATCAAGACCGTGTACACGGCGACTTCAGAACATTTATAACAATATTGGGGCAGTAATTTCTCACTGAGTACAAGGTTTCGGCGCGGAGTGCTGGGAGGCGGTACTAACAGCCGTCAAAGTGCCATAAAGATAGACAAGGGCGGCCATCAACTCTGTGTACACCGTGACGTTTAAGCCATTCCCAAAACTCCTCGTACAAATAACACTTCGTTAAACTCAAGACGTCAGCTCTGAATGCTAGGACGCCAAAAGGTAGGTAATACAGCCATTAACTTGCAATGAAGATAGACAAGGAGGCCGCGCGCGCGGCGGCTTTAATGCATTAACAAGACTGCTGGTATATGTAACCTTTCATTGAACACAGGACGTGAAGGCTGAATGCTGGGACGCCTTGAGACAGGTGAGAGAGAAATGAAACCGCTAGAACGTCATGATGGCAGACAGATATAGTCGTCCAGATTGTGCACTCGGGCAGTTGATGGCATTCACGACTATCATGTTACGACCAATGCTTTTTTGAACACGAGGCGACAGTGGTGACTACTGAAATGAAACTAGGTGTACGTGAACCGCCAGTAGCTGAAAGAATCGTTGTCGCGTTCAGCGTATCTTGGATCACGTGTTACTTGCTTCATGAAATTATTTCAGTAAAAACCGAGGCTTCCTGCTCAAGAGGTGTGAACCCTCGGGACTTGTTTGTTAGTTGTGACATCTCCGTTAGACTAAATTAAATTAAAAAAAAAAAAAAACTTGAAAATTTATGAGTGCCGGGAGCAGCAGTTTGGAAGGTGTGAACTTAAAACCCTAACTGTCTGCCAGTACTGCTAGGCAATAATAATAAGAGAGGTCTTTTTAGACGCTATCATAGTTACAAGACCAAATACAGACTATGATGCGCTATAATGCTAAGGGCATGGTCTTACGAAGAAAAAAAAAAGCAAGGTACTTAATGGTGTTTGCTTTCTCTACTCATTTACTTCGGCATTAATAGCAAGTAGTGTACTAAAGAATAAAATATCCCACACTGTGAGAATACAGGGTCCTTGGCGCGGAAAGGTTCCGTAGAGATCGAGTGGCTGGATGTACCGTAGCTCGGACGAGTTTCCTGTTTAAATATTGAGGGAGGGCTAGCGCCAAACTTCAGCGTGGTCTGCTCGAATATGGCCCCGAGAGCGTCATGCCACACGTTAGACGAAGCGACAAAAAGTGTCGAGTTGTCTCCGCTCATCTCTGTGGAGTCAAAATCGATTCTTAATTAGCCCGAAGAGAATGCAAAGCGCATTAATTAAGTACCACGACGCCGAGGCGTCCCTAGCAGTAGGGAAGGATTTGGCACTGCGAGTGAGCTGCAACGCAAATAACAGGGCCAGATGTGTTTTCCGCCTAGTAAGGTCTTTTATAATTGCAAAACTATAGCCTTTGCAAAAAATGCGCTGTGGAGGCAGAGGAGTTTTGAAAACAAATTAAGTGTGATATACCGGAATGAAATGTCAAACCACCAGGGTGCAGCTAATTCTGGCTTGGTGAAGGGGAATGAATCTAGTGAGTTAAAAGGGGATTGAACAGAAATATCTGCCAACCTCAGATCCCCAATCCCAGGTAATCCAGTACTTACACACGGGCCCGTTTAGCAGGCACTACTGATATGAACCTTTTTTAGCGTCTTATTTGGTCTTACACGCGCTTCAGCAAACATCGTGTGTTTGCTGAACATTATTCGAAAAACCGAAACTAAACATAAACCAGGAACTAGAGCATACTAAACAAAGTTGATCTAATACCCTCCCCATTAGGGACGATATAGTTTCGGCGTCCGCTTTGGGTTTCAGCGCCAACGACAGAACGCGCGCGTGCGTCAGCGAGTCGAGCTGCCCTTTCGAGTGAACCTTTGAGCGCTGATTAGGGAATTTCTGGATGCCGACTGAGTCATTCAGCGAGCGAGAGCCCTTTGTTGCCAACTTCGTAGTCCACATTAAAAATGACTCTATCGCTATTACCTTTCCCAATCAGTAGCCGTGCTCAAGCTTTATGCGTCTCATTGACTGTTTCTTTCAAACCAAACCTGCGGAATATTTGAACCTACGTCAGAAACCCAGCAAGGAAAACTACAAAGCCTATGTTTGAGTTTCCTGCAAGCTTGCAAGTTAGAGTTCAAAAGCCCTAACATACACCGCAGGGCGACTGTCATGGCCTTGGTGCTAACAGCTTTGTTTTTATCAGTTATCAGTTTGTGTTATCAGCGTTCTGACTGTAGCCACAGAGGTCACTGGCCGTAGGACGCAAAATATAATTATCGAGCTAAGCTAAAACAAAACCCCGAGACTGGGTAAAAACAAAGGACAGCACAACACAGAAAGTCTCAACTTCCTCTGACTTTGCGTATTGTGTCGACCTTCGCTTTGTCCCCAGTCTCGGGGTTTTGTCTTAAAATATGTTCAGTCACCATCAGCTAGTTGGGCCCTAACGTTTTGGGAGGTAAGCTATTACTTTTCTTTTTGACGCTAATAATAGGGTTATTCAGATCGGCTTGTGTGTAAAAATGGTCCATGGCAACGTTTTGAAGGAAGCAGTCAAACAAGACCATAAAATAAATTTAATATTTAGCAGGCCTATGTATTAAGGTAGCTCATCTTATCTAATTAACCTAAGGGGTATTTCTTAATTTTATATCGTTATTTCAACGAAGTTTGAATTGGGCTTAGTCAAAGTATAGTGTATGGGAATAATAGATGAGTCCTTTGCTTTTTGAATGACCCATATGTTCCTAAATTATGAACTTGAAATTATTTCGGGAAAATAAAAGTATCAGTCAATCGTAGCTTGTAAAGAATCAAACAGAAGACATTATCAGTAACATAGTGCGGTGCAAGTTAGATTGTTTCTCAATTAAGACAATGCGCTGAATCCAAAATGAAAACACTAAGAATAATTGTTAAGTGAAGTACCGTAACATTACCAGCCATCACAAAAGAGCAATGAGTATTTTTTTCTCTCACACTGCCTAAGGCACCGGGCGAAAAAAAAAAAAAAAAAGATAAATTCCGTTTTTGTCTTAAAAGGGAAAGCACGCAGAAAAACAGAACATGACCGGCGAGCGTCTCAGAGCAGATCGTATATTTAAAACTAATAGTATTCTTTTTCAACTTCATCTTTCATAAAATGTTTGGAAGATTTCAAAGGTTAATTCCACGGAAATTACACAGAAGCTAAAATGCACGAATTTGCACGTTTCAATGCATAAAATATATGGTATATTCATTCTATCAGTGGCGTTCGGCAAGGATTCGACAAGTCAGTAGGCCTGTATACGCGCGCAACAAGGAACACCGCTGTCGAAGTACACAGCGCCACTCTTTAAAGTCATCGGATTTCGCTCTTCTCATCACATGGAGGTCAGTAATATAGGTTACCCCAGACCCATCACATGTCTAAACCACGTCAGGTGACTCAACACAAAACTCAGCAAAAAAAAAAAACACACACACACACACAAAAAAATCACATGGCACTGCTGGAATTATGAGATTGGACGGCAGTTCGAAAGGGGGAATGCAAAAAAATGCACGGCTTTTACTATAACAACACTTAAGTTTCTGTCTAGCAAAACAATATTATGGGGACCTGAAATATTGACGCGTTCGACGTTAAGTGCTTGGGGAAACGACTTTTTAAACAAATGGACGTCGAGGGCATATTTCGAAACGATGATAGATTAACCATCGCCGACGATCGAACGCACTTCAGGAAAAAGAAATGTCTGGCGCCGTACGCATTTTTGTTTTTGTCCTTGTGGTGCTCTTGATGCTAACCGAACTGCTCGATGAAAAAGAACCGCATCGACTAAGAAACCTGAAGTCTTTCTTCTATCTCTTTTGCTTGTGTTTTGTTCCTACTCAAAGGATGCGCGCTTACGTGGAATACGAATGGACAGATGAACACTTAAGCAGTCGGGGGGGAGACGGTGCGTGGGTTCACAGTTATTGACAGCAGGTGAGGCATCTCCCTCGCCGTAATGGCGTTTCTTCTCGTCTTGAAGCCAGGTAAACGAACTCGGATTGACGTAGTTGACGGAATCATACGCGCCCAATAGTACGTCTAGTTTTTGTAAATGGTGACTGGGTTGTGAGGGAGTTACAGCGGCAAGGTGCATTTATTTTTGTTTTGTGTGCTCCTGCGCGCGCAGAATGAATGACCTCAGAAAGACAAGCCTTTTAGCAGCCTTGCACTTTCACGCCTTGTCTTGGTGAATGAACGTTCTCCTGCAGCTGCTAACTAACGCGGGGAAACTAGCGATTTGACGGGTCTATAGTTGTTTTTCTGGCGTTTGTTTACCTTTTGGAAAGGTTCTTGGAGTCTGGAACGTTCAAATTGATATAGTGGCTCTAGCTACTGACAGCTCTAGAAAGGCAGGGAAGGGTGAGTTTAGATAATTACATTATCGCTGGGCACGCAGCCAATGAAAGTGCTGCATTAGCCAATAAGAACGTCGAAAAATGAATCGCAAAGCAAGAACCATGAACATAATTCTGCGTTTTTTAAGCTCTCATTGAATATAGGGGTTAGTGCAAGTGTGTTGGTTAAAAATGTGTGCATTTATACCTCACCGGAACACCCAAAATTTGACGGAGGCCATTTGCGGAAAGGAAGCCTCGTAACCCTAATCCTGGTTTTGCGTGAAAAAAATCACAAGTTGGTACAACTATATTATCAGCCTTCCACTGGGGCGTGCCTGATGCCTCTAAGTGGTCTGAAGCCCAAACTTCAAAAATGTATTTGGTGTATGCTAACCAATTGTGAGTTGTTTGTCAAAGAAAACAAGACGTCCATCAAGAATTATGTAGATTGTCGATCCCATTAAAACAAAAATCATTTGCTGCAATAAAATAATGACACCACAAGGATATCTCAGGTTGGCTTTGCACATATTTGGCAGTCAACTAGTTTTACTGGATTAGAAGTGTGAGTCGTTTCATACCTG